ACCCGTAATTTAATGTTGGTTTTATACCAAGTGATTGTTAGTGCAATAGTTGAAAACTTTAGGAATTATTATCATAAAAAAATAACTTTAGTGAACATTTACACGATTACTTAAAAATTCAATGACCATTGGCTTAATTAACCATCCCTTAACCTATAGCGCCTCTAGCAAATTCCTCCCCAACCTTTAAAATCGGACTTTTCAATCCGCATCCTTAGTTCTATTCACACATTGTGAATTTTAATTTTCTCACTCTAGAGATACAAGCGAATGGTGGGGTGAAACTTTGCCTAACCCAATCCTTCAAACCCTTTTTTTATCAATTTCATATTTTGAAAGGAAAATCATTTAATTTTTTGTGCACGAATCTTGTCAAAATTGGTTCAATGCACAACCATTTTACGAAAATATTTGTGTAGAGTGTTCGAAGAGGATGGCTCTACACCTCATGACAATTTATTTACAAAATTACAAAAAATTGTTTCCATTATTTTCGTATCTGTACATATGTTTTGAAAGCCAGTTAGAATTGATCAATCAGCTCACATGGAGTGCTCAGCCAGCTCACATGGAATCGGACTTTTCAATCCGCATCCTTAATTCTATTCACACATTTCGTCATTTTAACATAATTTCGTGAGTTTTAATTTTCTCACTCTAGAGATACAAGCGAATGGTGGGGTGAAATTTTGCCTAACCCAATCTTTCAAACCTTTTTTTTTTTTTTATCAATTTCATATTTTGAAAGGAAAATCATTTAATTTTTTATGCACGAATCTTGTCAAAATTGGTTCAATGCACAACCATTTTACGAAAATAGTTGTGTAAAGTGTTCGAAGAGGATGACTCTACACCTCATGACAATTTATTTACAAAATTACAAAAAATTGTTTCCATTATTTTCGTATCTATGTACATATGTTTTGAAAGCCTTTATTAAGAAAAAAAATTGAACGCAATACGATCTCAGAGCTCAACTTTTAGAGTTCAACTCAGGGATAAAAATATTATATCAGACCTTACTTTATTTTTTTATTTATGCTTTATACTTCAAATTGACACACGGACTAAATTAATTTAGTAGCGAATTTTTCAAAACCTTTGCAAGTTATTATTTGCTCAAATCTAGTAGAAAAACATGCAATTGTAACTTTTCATTATTATTAAAAACTTTATGAAACTAAGAGAGATCTCCATTAAGCTACTTCTCCAAGAGTATGACTTACAAAGAAGTTTGAAAATTAAATAAGAAAAACATTGCAAGTTGGGACTTTTAATTTGCTGTATTTAACTATTTTCATTGCAAGAATGTGAAATATTCTAAACACAATGAGAGTTTAGGACCCTTTTGGTGGACCGGGTCTGGCAATTATTTGCAAAATCGTAGGCCCAAGCTATAATCTTGACAGTTCAATTGACAGGTGACATTTCATAGAAGGTTATAATCGAAAAAATAATTTTTGTATATACGATAATTCTGTCATTCATACTATTTGTTGAACAAATTTTTTTGGCATTATGTTTTTCTTCATTTAATGAGTTGATGGGTTCATATGAAAAACATATTTTATATTCATTTCATAATTATTATTATTATTATTTTTTTTTTACCATTATACGAAAAATTATAAAAATCTTTCAGATAAAGTAGTTTTTGATAAAAAGGAAAAAAAGTAATATGATTTACGCGTAAGAGTATTTGTGACTATTTAAATTTTAACGATATAATTAAATATAAAGTCGATTAGTTTTGATGTCATTTTGAAAGCTAATGTATATGTTGCTCTAATTTAGTTATTTATTTTTTGATAAAGCACAATGCTATACACTTCAAGGATAAAACAGCGACTTCAACAAATGCATAATTTGATTGTGATATTCACTGTTTGGCAACTTGATTCATAAACAAGCCCTACATCAATTTGTAAATAGCAACATACAAATTAAGTTCCAACACGCGCATCACAACATATTTTGTATACGTTAATGAATAAAACGAAACAAAATTGAATGATATAATAAACAAAATTTCAATTTATTTTTCATTAACAAAGTCTAATACTGCACAATTTACCTTATCAAACCAAAAAACTTGACTATTTTCTGGGTTGATATGGCCGAAGCCATGGCCATTCGGGAAGGCCTCCTTTTTGCAAAGAAGGGGCGGGGGAGGGGGTGGAATTTTAGTTGCGCACCAAATGCTCGAGTTCCCCAGGACGTTAGGGATTTATTATCGGATTTACAGTGTGGCACATGTTGCTAGGTGAATATGGTGGTCCACATGGTTACATCTTATTTTCGATGTAGCTCTGATATTTTTAATCAGATTGATTGTATACCACCTTTTTTTTAGTTTGTGGTCCACAACGAGCTTTGTTAATGAAAGGAGCCTAATTCTCCCCCTAAAAATGAAACAAATAATTTTGTATTATTTGGAACTATACTTTTTGTTATATGTCCCCAAGAACCCTATTACACATGATTACATATATATAATACATAATTAATGGATGTAGAAATCTATAAATGTAGTAGCAGGTCTTGAACTCTTTTTTGGTAGTCCCCCCACTAGGAAATTAATGGGCAGGCCACTAATAATTATCAACGGAGGATTAAATACCATTTCATGACATGCCCGACAATACACAATTGTGGTCCCTTTCCCTTGATGAAATTATCATGTACCATTTTGCTTGGCCACTTTCAGATGACAAACAAATATCAGCAAATTTTGTTCACTGGATTAAAGTACTGATTGAGATCAGATCAACTGAGAAATGTCATTTGACTTAAAAGTAAGAGTCAGTAAATATTTGGTAACTCTAAATTCTTTACGACATCGTATGTATACGAAGATAAAAAAAGAATAACATTTAAAAATATACGCACACAAAGTTCACACGAATTCGACTTGGTCGAGATAGTCAAGTTGCTGTTCTATAATAAAGATATATACTCGATAATTTCTGCCTTCGACAAATTTAAAAACAAAATTCTTTTCATTGCAACCGTTGAAAGAGGGACTTTAGATATTTGCCAAAATAATTCAATTCAAGTGACGTTGACTTAAATGAACAACTATTAAGATTACCATGTTTTAGCCACATTATTTTTTTTATTCTCATTCTTCTACTCATTTTTAACCATTCATTATTCAATAAAATAATATTTTTCATCACATCAATAACTTTCTCTTCATTTTCAACCGCATATTTCCCATCACATCACTTCAAAAAAATGCATTCCCTCATTTTAATGTACACCAAACAGGCTCGTCGAGATTAATTATCCCAAGTGCAGAATGAAGTATTATATTGAAATGCACCTTCTTCTTTGAAAGAAAATCAAAATAATAATATGTCGCGGTAATGACTCATCACTTTAATTAAATATCACCTTTTCTATGAACACAAGTATTTTTTATTCATATAGAGGACAATAATGAATAGTAGTAACATATTGAAATCTAAAAAAAAAAAACAAATTCTGAAGGGTTGCACAATTCATTGTTGATCCTTGTCAGTAGAATCACTCTTTTGGTAAATATTTTTCATTTATCTTTGAGATTGAATCCTTGACTTTACTATTCATCAATAGAACAGTGTCAGTTTCTACATTTCTATTCTCACTTAAAAGGGCAAAATGATTGCTTCCATACTCAAGAGATGGATATCCATACTGCAAAGAGTTGGACATTTTCATGGTTTTGTACACAAGCCATTAAATATACTTTGGTATGAATTAAAGCTCATCTGGTTAGAAACAGCTTTTATTGGTCACCATGATTTACCTAGTAAAATTCTTTTCTCTGAACATTAATAATTGTGATCAACTTTAGTAAGATTCTTTTGAATCTTTTCACCAACAATAATGCATTGTAATTTGAGTTTAACCTGTCAAAATTCTTTGACATGCTGAAACCTATGAAGGCCAATTATTATGTCATTAATTAAAGCCTAAAGAAGTTAACATGGGTCATGTGCACTTGCTGGTAAAGTTTGGTTTGAGACAGAATTGACTATTTATATAGATATATACATAGTTTCAATTATTATGTTGAACGCTCGTCTAGAAATTTTAATCTCTTAGAGAGGGAAAATAAGTTTAATTTATTTTTTCAGTAAATGACCTGTACATACCCAATGACTTGAACTTGAGACTTCGATATGTTGAGAGAACACATCCAACAACTACATTTAAGAGCTTAAACTATTGAAAAAGAAACAATTTATTTATTTACATATAGTCTACATCAATCCTTTACTTTCAATACCTTAACTTTTCTTTAGTTAATTTGATTAAATTCAAAAGCTGACCTGATAAGTTGGAATATTAAATTTAAATTATACAGAAAGTATAGTGAAAGTGAAGTGAGGGAGTGAACAAGAAGAGGGTGACCTTTCCTCATCTCCTTTCATTATCCCATCTCCTGGCTGCTTCTTGCTGTCTGATTGAAAAAACTGTCCCAAAGATTCCATGAACCAAATTTGAAACCAGACACACAAGCATACAGATCAATATATTACAGCAAGAAAACTTCTCTATCACCCACAGAGAAAATGATGGTTCTGAGGGATTCGATTCAATCAAATCCAATCTTGCTTCTTTAAGGTACTTATGGGTGAAAAAACCCTCAAATTTGACGGTATAGTTGTGAAAAGAAGACAGAAGGAATTAAGAATAAGTATTACAGTCCACTGTAGTTTTAGCCTGGAATGAATATACATAGAATTTTCATTCTATCTATTTTTTTTTTAATCTATCACTACTCATGTTGCTCATATATGTTGGATTTTAGTAAATATTTTGCTGTTTCTGTGTATAATAAGCAGGTTTTAAAGCTAGGAATTGTCTCAAACAAGGTCATGCTGGATAATTTTCCGTAGAAGTGATTTTTTGCAAACTTTTCTCCTGTTGTTCAATCTGAAAGCGAGAAGCAAACTCGAAAGGCAAATAATTCCTGAACTTCTTACTAAAAAAATCTTAATTCTCGAAAATCAATGTCCCAAAGATTCCAACAAGGTCTATACAATATTTCAAATGCATACGAAAGATCTGGGACAGCCAAACAAAGCGATTGGACTGGTGAAAAAGAAATGTTTAGAGTGCAAGGTTTTGAGCAAGTGGACTTATCCGGGCAGCCACCGGTGTATGATACTGGAGGGATGCTGACTGAGATCATAAACTTGCCGTGGCGAAAAGCTGCTAATGAAATTTTGGATGATCAGATGCAGATCCAGTCAAGTAATAACCGATGGCTGCAAAAACAACAAATTCCAGCAGAAGTTCATGAGGCTGAGGTGAGTGTTGTTTAGCATAAAACAAGCAAATAATTTTAATAAAAAAAATATACACCTGTTAATGAAGTGATTTTCATCAATTTCGAATGCAGCTTCCTTTTATGATTCCACATGTTAAAGCATCTTCTGCTCCTATATCTTCTTCAATCCAGAGGTTACTTCCATCAGACTTTTCTCTTCAAGGATTTCCCTTGGTTAATATGGCCCCTCCCCCTCAATCATTATGATTCCACATGTTAAAGCATCTTCTCCTCCTATATCTTCTTCAATCCAGAAGTTACTTCCATCAGACTTTTCTCTTCAAGGATTTCCCTTGGTTAATATGGACCCTCCACCTCAATCTACTTGGTTATCTAGTAGCGGTGGTGGAGATGATACTACCACGAAAATTGGAAGCATCATGGATGGACAAGGACTTTCTTTATCATTATCTTCGTTGAGGCACTTGGAATCCTTCAAATTCGAGGATTTAAGGATGGAAAATAGTGAGGTTTACCTCCATAATCAAGGAATAGGGACTTCCTCAAGTAATCCCTATGGTCCAAAGAATTTTGGGCCTTATCCGCCACGGGATGATCAAATTCATTTTGGATATACAGCATCTCCAATGGTCACAAATGGCTTGAAAAATTCTAAATATTTGAGATCTGCCCAAGAATTGTTGGAAGAATTCTGCTCTGTCGGGAGAGGGCAATTCAAGAATCAAAAAGTGAAAAAGCAAGACAGAAACCCTAATTCTCTGAATGGTGGCGGCGGAGGCGGTGCTGGGGCCTCATCCTCAAAAGACCGTCACCCTTTATCTCAAGCAGAAAGGGCCGACTATCAGAGGAAAAAAGTTAAGCTATTATCAATGCTTGATGAGGCATGTAATTCTCTCTCTCTCTCTCTCTCTCTCTCTGCAATCACAGCCCGCCAAATCACAGTAGGAAGAAATTCTGTCTATTGTATTATAGGCGAAGAATTCAGTGCATCTTTTTTTTCCCTAAATACTGTCGAATTCTCCTCAACAAACATGATACATAAGAGTTATATTAATTTTTCTGTTTGTTTTAGTAATCAATATGAAGCCAGCTAATGATATGAATATCCCACCAAACTGAGTCCAAAATTTTCTTCTTTACCGTCTAGTATAATATGGCCATTAATTATTCTCAGCCATGATTATGCTGACAGACTGCTGATAAGGGTACATGTCGTTTGAAGAAAGACATGCCTCCTGTAGAGGTTGTATTTGGAATCTACTATAAGGCTGCTAAGCAAAAGAACATCCTTAATTAACAAATTCTTCTGCTTTTTTTTCCCTTCTGATCAACTTGGGACCATTAACTTTTAAACCCTTTTTAATCTTCAATTGTTTTAAATAAAGCATGGTGGTGAATCATTGGAAGCTAGAAGGCATCAAATACTCCAATAATGAAGAATTTATAGTGGCAGGCTTTGGTTAAAGGAAGAAATGGCCGTCATAAAACAGCTGTACTAACAGTACTATTTGGGAACTTAAAGAATTCATCCTTCATCTGCATTATGTTCATGATCAATTAATTAATTATATCTTTTCACATTTCCTCTTCACAGATTCCTAATGTTTGCTTTAAAGATTTGGTTTATTAATAAATTAGTGAATACAAAGCAGTAATGTCTCAACTTTATTTCTACCTTCTTTTGCCGGAAAAGTATAGTACATTGCAGAAATTAATGTTCTTAATTCAAAGCTTGACTTTGTGCTGGTCATGTTCCTTGAACTTAATCATTAGACCTTTTGCATACCTACTTGGTAAATATGCTATTTGTAGTTTCCCAATGTAATAATGTAGTAAGTGTTGTAGACATGATAGTTGGACAAGATACCATAGTATACAAATCTTGAATTCAGTTCTCAGAGTGCTGGACAAAGAATGCACATGATCGAGCGTGTTTAGCATACATAATGACTTATGCTTATGCACGAGGCATGGATCAACTAATATGATATATTTTTGCTTATTTGTGGGAACAGATAGATGGAAGATACTCGCGATACTGTGAACAAATGCAGGCAATGGTGAATTCCTTCGACGTGGTTATTGGAAATGGGGCAGCAGCTCCATACACAGTACTAGCACAGAAGGCAATGTCTCGGCATTTCCGGTGTACAAAGGATGCAATAATTGCACAGCTTAAGCAGACTTGTGAGATTCTTGGAGAAAATGATCTTACAATTAGTGCTGGGTTGACAAAGGGAGAGACCCCAAAGCTTAAGCTGCTTGAGCAAAAGTTTAGGCAGCAAAAAGCCCTTCACCACATGGGAATGCTGGATTCTGAAGCCTGGAGGCCCCAAAGAGGATTGCCTGACCGTTCTGTTAACATTTTGAGAGCCTGGCTTTTTGAGCATTTTCTCAATCCGTACTCTCTCTATCTCTCTCTCTCTCACACACACACTTTTGTTGAGGGACATTTAAATTTTTTGTGTTTCTAATTATTTAAACTTTTAGACAAACTTATTCAGCATGTTATAAAACATACTTATGACTCATTTGATGGATTTAGTCTTACACACGAGAATGCTTGGTGAGTATATATTTTTTAAAATTGTTCCCGTTGTAACAGTATAAGCTTTTAGAAAAGATGTTCACGCACACTAGTCCAAACTAATATGCACGCTAGCTTACAAACATATACACACATAAACTCGTACTTTTCTGGCAGAACCACTTAATTATTTGTGGTTTCAAACATAAATCTTATTCTGCTTCTGGCTGTTAGCCTGTTTATCACTCCCATGCAAGAATTTAATTACTGTAATGATATGGGATTACAAACTGTTTTGGTTTCAGGTATCCAAGTGAAGCAGACAAGCTTTTGTTGTCTAGGCAGACTGGTTTATCCAAAAATCAGGTACTCGTTACATCTTTTGATATCAAAATTGATACATCATATCTCTTGAAAGGGATAACTCACGTTACCTTTGCTACACAACGAACTTGTGTCATATTCATTTTTTTTTTAGTAGTTTATTTTTTCTGGGGAAAATCTTTTTTCGGAAATGAAGGCAGTCGATTTTAGATGATTTAAATTTTCTTTGACCATGCGTGACTTTAAGAGAAAATGTAGCGAGGCTGATAAAAATTCGTAGGAGCATTTTACATGGTTGACTAGGTATTATTCATATGTAGAATTGATTTCCCACTATAGAAAATGTCCATATATATTCAAAGGGGAGAGACATGAAGAGAAAGAGAATATTACAATGAGGGCGGGGCTAGGGGAGAAGGTGAAAAAGAGAGGGAAGACGACGGAGAGGGGGTGGGAATGTTGAAAAATGGCATGAATAGGGAAATGAGGCAGCAAATAGAAGATACAAAGTGAGGACATGGAAAGATACGAGGACAATTGGTATGTTAGGATTAATATAAAAATTAAGGCTTGTATCGAAACTTTTGAAATTATTACAACAATATGAGGACAATGATAAGGGGCGGGGCTAGGAATATTGTCTAATCGGACACAATTTAATCATAGTCGAATTTTTATTTTTTGGGGCTTGAGATGAATTTTAAATTTGAACTATTAAATTAAAGTAATTCAATTTTTTTTAGTAATATATAAACTCAAAACTCAATAAACAAAATGAAACACTTCCAAAAAAATTATTTAATACACAAACAAAACAATATGTCAATGCACATTCTACCTATAAAATAAAATTAGGAACAAATATATCAAGTTTTCATATGCAGGCTATTGATAACCAAGATTCACACCAATTTCTAGCCTCAGCCTTAAAAAAATATAATTACATAAACTTTATATGTACATTTTACATAATTTTATGTTCTCTTTAGCTATTGTACAAAGTTTGTGGGTCTTAATGCAAATTTCATGTCTAGATAAAATTTTGAGTTTATTTAATTTTTAATTCTGCCATCAAGTTATCTCTATATGCATATGCTGCTGCCACTGTAACCAATAATGGGTGGTGACCCCTCTCTCTCTCTCTCTCTCTCTCTCTCTCTCTCACACACACACACACACACAAATGAGAAAAGTTTAGGGTTCTTCTTGCCTTCTTGTTGGTGATTCTCTCTCTTTTTCTCTCCAACTCTATGTTTTTCTCTTTAATTCTCTCTACATATATATGTAAATCGACAAACAGGGTGCTGATCCTTTTTTTTTTTCCTTGGCAATGGTCAATTAGGACAATTGCATAACTTGTTTTCCTCACTAACTTGATCTTTTACAGACAATAACCTCGAGAGAAAAAAGTCAATATTATCAATTACTTAAAACAATTGACTAATATTTAAAAGATATAAACCATTAGCTTTCATCTCAAGTTATAAATCTTGTCATATGTTCATTAAATGTAGTTTTCTCCATATGATTTTCTAAGTTTTCTCTAAACCTACGAAAATAAAAAATAAAGTTACAATGTTTTAAAGAAAAAGGAAAAGGAAACTAAATTAGAAGTTACTATATGAATATGAAGTTGTAAATGTTATATAATTATAAGAAAATTATATTACAAATTTTATACAATAATCACACACACACACACACACACACACACATATATATATAAAGTTAATTGCATACTTTTTCTTTATTTACTTGTGTTTGTGTAATTGAATAAGACATTTCATTGTTGTTGTCTATAAAAAAAAATTGTTTTTGTTGTATGAAGACAACTCCCATTATTATTTCTACATTCATTGAAATAGCACAATTAATAAAATGAAAATGCTAAAGGTGCTTCAAGAAAATATTAATATAACTTACTAAGGTGATTGCACATGCCATTCTACTTTGGTGGGACAAATTGTTCTTGAATCTTTCGGTTTTCTAAAAGAAAGTTTTTATAATGGCTAGACTAATTGAAGGTACAAAAATATAAATATATCCTTCTCCCACATTATATATTCTTCCAATCGAAAAATAAAAGTTTTCGAGTGCTATGTTTTTAGTGTTGGAAACTTACATAACATGATGCTTGAAGCTAAGAAAATACACGTCCGTGAACTTGATTTCCTTGTTATAATGTTTTGCATCATAGTTTTGGAGTAATGTGTATACAGAAGCTTTTTCATTATTTCTTCTCAATGAGTATTAATTATCACTGCCCATATAAATACTAAGGGCTTGTATGGTGAAGTTTTTGTTTGCTAAAATGCTGATCAAACCTAATTTTTAATCAATTTTGGAGTAATCTGTATACAGAAGCTTTTTCATTATTTCTTCTCAATGAGTATTAATTATCACTACCCATATAAATACTAAGGGCTTGTTTGGTGAAGTTTTTGTTTGCTAAAATGCTGATCAAACCTAATTTTTAATCACACATTATTCATAACTTTCATCCAATGCTTCACCTAACATTGCATAGATTCCACCAACATTAATTATCAGCTTTTAACATCACAACCCCTAAATCACACTAGTGTTAGTACATTTCCTCATGAAGTGTTGTCATACTTACAGTGTTAAGTGCATCTCATAAGTAGGAAGAATTTAGTAGTAGATAGTATTATAGACGAGAATGAAGTTGTAATTTCATTTTCTATACGGTATATTTTTATTAAGATCTTGTTTGATACATATTATTTCTGGAGAATATATTTTAGAATAGTAGATTGAAAGAGAATATGTGGTTAAAAAATAAGAAAAAATTTTGAATTTGCGTATAATATTATTTTATTGAAAAATGTGTAGTTGAAAAAAAAGAAAAAAATGAATTTTGGAAATAATGTATATACTACTGCATGCTTGTTTCTAAGGGGTGTTTGTTATATTCTCAAATTTTACAGTAAATCAATTCTCATTTTCAACCATACATTCTTTAATAAAATAATATTTTCTATCACATCAATAATTTTTTCTTCTTTTTCAACCACACATTTCCCATTATATCAATATTCAAAAATCAGTTTTTCCCCTAAAAATTCCTACCAAACAAGCTCTAAAAGGAAAAATACAAGACATTCTCACCAAAGAAAGGACACTGGGTCTATCATTTGCACGAATAATACAGGCTCATTTATGATTCATGTATCCACTGGCAGCACTAACTTTCTCCAAACATCATAAATTCACTTTTTCCAGGTATCAAATTGGTTCATCAATGCTAGGGTTAGGCTGTGGAAGCCTATGGTGGAAGAAATGTATCAACGGGAATTCCAAGAAGAACAGGAGGCAGCTGAGACAAAACAAGACAATATTAATGAACCAAATTCAGAAACCCACAGCCAAAACAATGTTGTGACAACTGCACAAACTACAATGCACAACACTCCTACCATACCAGCAACGAGCAAAATATCAGAAATGAATGCATCAGAAAAGGACCCTTCACAAAACAGCATCAAATATAGGCAGTGCACCTTGGGAAACCAACTCAGCTTCCAAGCTGGTAGCTCATCCACATCCACAACGTATGCTGACCTTGCGCCATCCGTGTACCGGTGTTTTATGGCAAACGAGGCAGAGGCAGCTGAAACACACGACTTGGGAGTATCGACAGATGAAGGTGCCAACGCGGGGCTTGTTAGGCTTGGCAGTTCTCAGGCAGGAGATGTGTCTCTCACTCTGGGACTCAGGCATTCGGGAAATGTACCCAGAAATAGAACGAGCCAACTCTCAATCTCAGACTTTGAAGCTTACTGAATTTAGTTCCCCAAGTGTGCAAGGATGTTACGGTTTTAGAAGACAGTATCATAAAGTATAGAATATGTGAGCTGGTTGTTTAAATTAATAAGCAGAGTAATTGTATAGATGAGAGAATTATTTAAGGACAGATAATATATGAATCTTGTCATGTTTATCATGATTTGCAGGGGCAGATGTTAAATTTATGGCTAGAGGAAGTGGACCACATAAATGTTTAAGGGATCTATGTAATCAAAATCTGTCAGCTACCTACTTTCTTGAAAAATAACTTGCATAAATCAAGAAAATAATTTATTTCCTAAGGATCAAGAAATATAATGATTGAAGAATGTATGTGTATCTATTTTGCAAGTAATATTCGACTTACATGAAGAGCTTGAATGAGGTTCTATTGATTGTTACTATATATTTCTCGTGTGATAATTTTACTTGGACTGAACACGTAGAACTGATTTTATAGATTCAAATAGTAGGGTAGATGTTTGTATTAGGCTTTGCTCTTGATATAGAACAGATAATTGGACTATGAAAATTATATTTACTCTATATAGACCATTGAAGAATATTAGCCCCCGTTTGGCCCCATTATTCGTAATTTTAATGGTTGGAATGGTGTTTTTTATTTTTTTTTAATGTGCGATTAAAAAAAAAAGAAAATATTTTGGAATTATGTGTAATGTTATTTTATTGGAGAATGTGTAGTTGATAAAAAAAAAAATTAATTATAATTTTAATACGCAGCGAATTATGTGGGGGGTGTACAAATGGATTAACCCAAAAATTTATTACTACTATTTTCTTTATAATTAATCTCGAAATTAATGCACTTTTTCCTTTTTACACATGGGGATATACTTTCTATAATGTTCCCATTATATATTAGGCGATAAAGCTCACCTGAAAAATGTTGAGTCACGTACTATTGGAAAGAATATGTTAATTTATTCTTGTAGTCATGTGGCTTTCTTATCTTTAGCATTATGATCTTCCCTTTCCAAAGTTGCTTTCATGTAGTCTATCATTTTTAATATTAATAAAATTACATTGCCATAGTACTTGTTAACTTTATAATTTCATTTTCAATTTTTTAGTATAGTGCAGGAATGGTTGCTACAAGATTTTAGCTCATGTTTGCTTAGTGTTTAGTAATGATTTATAATCGATATAATCACTTTTTATACATATATTTTGTGAGATCCACAAATCTATAATATTCGAGAAGGGGCAATGATTTGCTTCAATATAAAGGTTGATCCATGAAATCTAATTCTAGACGGGAAATCGTTTGGTATAGTTCAAGGTTGGGATGAACAATCGAACTATAGTTTCAATTCATTTAGTCGTGCGAAGATTTATTTTATAAAAAATATAACATAAAATTTTCATGTTTAGGTGAACGTCTACCTTGATATCATGTTATATTATCTTGCTAAAAAACTTATCAAGTCAAATATGAATATTATTTATTTATTCGACCATCCTTACAAGTTATGCATTTTAAGCATGTGTTCAAGTTTTAATTCGCAATATTTATTTGAATTCCACTTTGTTACAATTTTGGAGGTGGTGGTGGGTCGTGATGATGGCAACAAAGACGAGGGCGGAAATGGTGTTGATGGTGAAAGTAGTCATGATGAAGACAACGACGACTATGGTGATGCTGATGGCAATGACGACAACAACTATGGTGGTGAGGTATTGTTGTGTTTTTAGGATTTGCAATGGTAATCTGATTCAGGTATTTTGTTGTCAAAAACAATATTTTATGAATAAAAATCGATTACAAGTAAATTTAAATTTCAAAAGTCATGGAGGTGGTGGTCGCCATTATCCTCTTAAAAAATCACAAACACTCAATTTATGAGGACTATAGTTCAATAGTTACTCCATGTTTTGTCAAAGGGAAGATCACCAAGGCTTTTCCGGGTTCAGTATATACTCCAATCAATCATCACCTCAAACAAGCTGAGCCAAAATTGAACCAAAATGGACCCAAACTCCGATTGCTTTGAAATGTCCAATTAGAACGCACAATATTGATGTTATTGCAGCTATAAAGGCAGTCACAAAGGCCAAGGAAAATGGAAAAGAAAGGCATGATAAAGAGAGCACGAAGCAGGTGCCCTTTTTCACCAAGGAATAAATAGCAATAATACACAAGTCACGGCCAAAGGGGGCAGCATATATAAGAAAATAATTAGGGTGTAATTTACCCAGTTCGGGTTATTCACCACAAGTGCATTACTAAGTGGGTCGAAAATTATAAGTCATTCAAAGAGTCGGAAAACTGGCCATGAGCAACACTAATAATATTGGGTTGCTTCAAATGGCCTAAATGATTTTAAGGTCAAGCCGTTTCATTCTAAGGAGTTGACTTTTAGTCTAGTCAATTGGTCAATGCGTATTGAGAGACTTATACGGAGTTACATCATAACTTGAGAGGTCGTTTGACAACAATTTGCCCGACACTCCAGATACTCATCAAATTAGAATAAAATCTGATTATATCTTTTTCTTGAAATGCTGACAATTGATGAATTTTATACTATTGGCACGGTGAAACCAGCACCAATGTCATTTACTATGCTTTATTTTTGTTGGTTCCTCAATAATGTTTATTTTTTTTCAATATAGTTTATAAACGCGCCTTAATTTTAGTATATTTAGCCCAGTTCGACTTATCCAAAAACAAATTAATGTTGGAGAGAGCACTTTCAAGTGTATAAAAAGGAAAGAAATTAATGGGATTCCTAACACTAATGGCTTGTTTGACAAGGTGCATGACCTAGATAGAGTTGGACAATTTTCTATCTAGTATTGTCAAATATTATGTACTAATTTTTGAGATTGAGAACTATGTTGTCACAACTTAGACTAAATATCAATGGGGCATTATAGAATGGAAAATTTTGAATGAGATCGAGCTTCTTTAATAATATGATGTAGTGTTTGTGATTGTCACAATTGAAAAGTCAAGAATTACTCGATGGCTATTTTTGCAAAGAATGAGAGACATCAAGTCTAACTAAAGTCGATTTTCATTCATTCTCCCTCCGACCGCAGGTCTGTCCATGTCTATATGTAATGTGGATTGGGACATAGCACAACCCATTATACACTTCAATGACATATGGTTGATAACAAAACGTCACAGTAATTACATTCTTCGTCAGATTGACGTGGATTTTACAAGAAAAGGTTTAGTCCAAAATTTCCAACAGTTGCAAGCTACCAAACGCTAGTCGCTTAAACAATGTCTTCAATCAAACTTCTGTGAACGATTAATGTATATAAATGAATTAATCCTCCAGTCACTCTAATTACACTTGCTCGTACTTGGATATTCTGGATTTGAAAGAGCGGTCCATTTTATTTACTTTTAAACAAAGATGAGCTTTAACTGGTTTATGATCAGAGCTATCTATACTGTCAATGGACTCGTATGAGTGCAGAGTAGCATTGATATCCTCGTCTTCTATCTTGAACAATATTCGATCTGTCCATGCCGGTACTCTTATCTGCAAACGGGTAAAAATTGTATGATAATTCACTCGTAATTTTCATCGGAATTTCGAACTGTGATGAATAATTTGAAGCCCAATTTTAGTTTGTTATGCATTATTTGCACAATATATGACTATTTAGTACCTTGTAACTGGTATCATAGTCACTGCTTCCAATGTTGTATTTGTATGTTGGTTTGAATGCTAATGTCCCCTCGCAGTATCCACTGAATACCTGTCCTCTTTCAGCCTCTTGCAGGAGTTGATCTTTGGTAGTGAGCAGCTGCAATAATAGAAATTGATTAGCTACTCTTTTTTTGATATGATTGAAACTGATTCGAACATGGTACGAGATTAGAAAAATATCTTGAATTCAAATTTCACGGCTGCTCCTCTATATATGAAAGTAATGAGAGTATCAAATGATTGATGCGAAAAATGAATATACCTTGCATGTACTAGGGAGTGTGACGAAGGCATAGAACATGCTTGGCTAAACTTAATATAAATAGAAAATTATTCTCTTCAATTCTTTCGAAAAGTGAATTTAACGATAAGCCAAACATTAGCTTGTCACATTTCTAACAGCTTAAGTTTTTAGGCAAGTGCGTTGGTTGTTAAACTTACTTCATGAAGGTTGTTCTCTATTAAATTTCTGGCTGGAAATGTATCAATCCCTTGCAGTCTATAGTTAAGATCTCCCAACCAGACAGTCACTGGAGCTGGTTTGGCATAGGGATTCCAAGTCTTGGAGAATAAGGAGTGTGATATGTGCCTGCATTGTGAATTTCTCTCTTCCACATTGTGAGCATGAGCTGCATGAATCATAGAGAAGAAATTACTAAAACTAGAACTACTAAAATTATTCAAGAAAAATATAATCTTGATTTTCTCCGTTCAAGAATTGCCACGGATAAAGCTTCAGGAACTCTTAGCTTTACGAGTGTATGATTCTCAAGCCATTCATTGCTAAAGTACAATTTTACTGGTTAATTTGTTTCTAAAGATGCTCGAATTTTTGCAGGCTCGTGGGCTTACCGGAGAGATGGCAGGATATGAACACCATTTGTATTCCCTTGTACCTGATGCTAATAGCCACAGCTCCTTTCTTTCTCCTAATTAAACCTCCACATCCCCCAACATCATGTTTGTCAACTTCTACTTCTGAAATTCAAAACAGTAGAGCCAAAAGAACAGTTAGGAACATGAATTGAATGGCCTGTTTTTAAAAAAATTCCTTGAAGGTACCTTTTATGAATAAATCGGAATTCTTCGATCCAAAAATGTACAGCTGCAGAGATTGCATTACTGCTTTCCCTAACAAACTTTATAGATCATAATAAACAATGTCAACAAGAAGATCTTTTAAAGTGAAATATAAAAGATAAAAAAAAAAAAAAAACTTTTACAGTATATGGAGTCCAGAAATTTACTAGCAATATAAGCTTTATAGTAAGATGCAAACATGTAAATTTATCATCGTTTTGGCCCTTCTGTTCAAGTTCGACAAGAAATACTACCCAATCTAATGACATGAGAATTACTCACTCTGTATTTAATCACCTATGATGGCTTGGCATGATTCAGGTTTAATGTGTATCGAGTCAAGTCACTCGTGTCTTGGCTAGGAGTTTTTGAATTGAAGAACAATGTTCAAAACTACTTTGCACATTAATAATTTGAACGCAGGGACACAATTATTTGCACTGGTATGAAATGTCAACATCGCGTGTAGGAAACTCCATTTCACGTGGTACATAATTTTCGTCCCTACCGTCACATAATCTATGGCTAAAATTGCACCAAATAAGCGTTACACATCTTACAAACAAATGGTTCCTAATAGTTGGAGAAGGAAGCAAGAAAAGAAAAGTCATATAATCTTAATTCTTACATGTGTGTATCAGCCAAAGCATCCTCTAATAGTCCTAGAATGTTGCTCCGGGGCACCTCTTGCAAACCAGCCACAAGCACATCATATTTCCGGTCTCCCCCCACCAGCTTTTTTATATCTTCATAAGAGACCTTCATCAATTCACGATTATCGCATCAGTTTTAAGTTGTTCGAACGAATATATACCTATTATGTTTATCTGTGTATATGTTGGAACTTGGGTTCATCCCAAAAGAAATAGCCTAATTCACTTACAAACTCAAGACTGTCACATGTTCAGTTGCCGTGGGACTTGTTTGTACTTTTCCAACAATTTATGAAAGATTAGTCGAAAAAGCTGATAATTTTTTCGAATAATGAAAAGGTTTAACACGGGCAAAATGAGTTTGCATATGAACGCTTAGAAATCACCATTTTTATGGTAAAGAATGTCAAAAGTTTGTGGTTAGAGAGGAAAAATCACCTGTCCATTCATATTCCATGTGACTACGCAAATGCAAAGATCAGAAGTGGTAGAGAATTCACAAGTTTTATTAGTCTCAACAGTTGTGATCCCTGCTTCTTCGGATGCATCAGCACTGTCAATTATGGCCATTGGTGTCCTTCTCTTTCTTCTGCAAAAAAAGAATTGCAGTATTAACTTGATTCTGTATTCCCTGTAACATAGGAAAATGATGAAGAAAAAACTACCTTTTTGCAGAAATCAAACTGCATAATCTGTCCATTCCTCCTTTGAACTTTACACAGGCAAACGCTTTCTTTTCCAGCTATTTTTATTAAGATATACAGCAGAAATGGGTAGGAGAAGGAAGATATATAGACAACAAATGCATTGACTTACAATCATGGGTTTTTATACATGTATATGTTTGGAAAATCCTGATTTCTGGCGGTGAAGAGATGATGGAAAAAGTCTAATACTTGAGGCTTTCATTTGATGACTAGTTTGTCTATGGTTAGGTCGATGGGTATTGACATTAATAACAAGAAAAATCGAAGTTGAAAAGGACCAGACGGCACCGTGTCCAGAAAATTCCACATGCATCGATCTGCACATTGCATGTGAGCAAAAAAGTACGAATACTCGTTAAAACTATGCCGATTTTTAAGATCGAGTTATAAAAAAGTCTACTTTATATGTTTTTGTTTTTGGCTATAGAGAAATTCTCATGTTGATCATCGCAATGACTTGAATTCAAAGTCATTGACATAAATCAGCTTTGACATTAGTATTTTTCAGCGTGTGAAGAGGTGTTCCAATTGCAATTGGATACAAAATGGAACATTTTATAGTTTGGAATTTTATGCCATAAAGTACGAAACACAAATTCAAAAGTTCGTTATTATTTGATTGCTTCCAAAAGAAGCCACATGAAAAGAAAAATCAATTCAATTATGGAATTTTCTGAGCTTTAGATAAGGTACTCACCAACTTTATGGAAATTTTTAAACTTTTATCGAAGGAGAATATGGTCAAATCTGATTTTGCTAAAAATCTTTCTTCAAGTTCATGATTGGTCAGTGAATTCAGTCGCATTTGGATTAAGGGATGTTTGGTGGGGATTAAAATTAGATTTTTAGTAGATTTTGATTGAAATTTTTGAAATGTGTGGTTGAAAAGCTGTGAGACCTATGAAAGATATTGTTAATTTTGATTGTTTGACTTTGACTTAGATTAAAATCTGATTTTAATTTGTACCAAACAAGATCTAAATGTAAGCTTAAAATGGATTTTTTCTAGGTCGATACCTGAGAGGTGAATCAAAACATCGTAACTTCGTTGACAATGTGTCTCGTATGTATTGTCTGTAAAAATGAGGATCAATTATTATTTATTCATCATGTCCTTTAAAACTTGAATTGGGGTTGTACAAATTCTATGGGACTTTTGGTCAACTGAGCAATCAACGATGGAAAGCTAATCTTCCACGCAAAAACAAAGACAAAGAAAAGCTCGTGTGAATGTGGGACTCTACCAATTGGTACCATCGTTCAAAAGTTTGGATTTTGCATATTCTCAGTTATTTCTCCCATTTCAGATCGAGTCTTATTTGGTGTAGATTAAAATCAGATTTTTAATAAATTTTTTATTTTGACTTAAACTTTTATGAACTTTTAATCAACACAAAATAGGGAGTGACGGCTATTCAATTTCTGACGAGTTGGAGTATACTTTGTTATCCAATACACGTGATCTTTAAAGTTCTCATTTAATTTTAACTATAAATTTCAGGAAACTTGCAATTACTATCAATTTATCTACAACTCATTTTTATTCCATTATCAAAAGCATTTTTCATTTAAAAAAAAATGTATTTGTTTGTTATCAAAGAAATACTAATCAATTGAGAAAAATTCCACCAATTTTAATACATATTTATAAAACAAACAACTAACAATAATTCTAGTTTATAAAGGGAAATAAAAACCCTAATAAAAAACAATATTTATAAGAAAACTAATGTAAACAAATTCCCTCAAGTCAATTTCCGCATGAATATAAAAGTGTTACTTACCACCAAAATATTATAATTTGACCCAAACCCCAATGGGCTCAATTTGCTAAAAAGCTCGATTATGCATGAATAAGTGTTGTTATTAATCACCCGATTCTGACACGGTTGATTGAGTTAATGTATCGGATGGCATCGCTAACCTAATAATTTTCACCGTGAATGGACTCTCCTCTTGTCTCGCTCTCACAATCAATTTATGTGATCAAATTCAAAGAAAGTTTTATTCATTTATTTATCTAGGGAGCTTAAGTTTGATTTTACTAAATTAATAAAAAAGGCTTGCGTTAGGCACTTTTTTCTTTGATCTTTATCTTTTATATTTAGTGTCCGTTTGATTGCAATAGTAAAAAATGGGTGGAAAGAAAATGAATTCCAGATAAAGTAATTATCTAGAACTTGTTTTCTAGGGAAGTGTGTTTGATTGGTATAATTTTTCACTTGAAAAATTTTAAAATTTTGGAT